CCAGTAGTTTTCAATGGTCCTAAGACATATGACCACAGATAGTTTCAGACCTGCCTTTCATCAAGAAAACAATCAGCTTGCTCTGATGTGGGGACAGAAGAGCTCACACACTGTGGCAGGAGTGCAAACTGGCACAGTCGCTATCACAATCAATGTGGAGGGTTCTCACAAAGCTGGAACTGGATCTGCCATATGACCCAGGTACCCCACTGCTGGGTATTCACCCCAAGGATTCCAAGTCAACACTACAGAGATACCAATGCATCCAAGTTGTAGCTTCAGTGTTCACAACAGCTAAGAAACCAAACGAGCCTGTATGTCCATCAGCAGACGAATGGATAAAAAAAAATGTGGTGCCCTATAGATGGAATTCATGTGGTCATAAAGGAAAATGAAATCGTGACATCTGTGGGAAAATGGATGCAACTGGAAATCATATTAAGCAAAATAAGCCAGACTCAGAAGACAAATGCTATGTTTTCTCTTATACGGATAGAGAGATGGTAATAGAACAAAGAGGAGAAATAGAGGGAACAGGCATCAGCTGGAAAGAGGAAAAAGAAAGTAGAAAATGAGTGAGAAAAAGTATGATGACACATGACAACACCTTGATGAAACCCCTTATTTCTATGTCAACCTAGAAAATAACTTTATTATCAATGTGTGTGTGCATGATTTGTTTGCATGCATGGGATGGGAATTCATGCCCCCGTGTGCCTGTGGAGGTAGGAAGACAACCATGTGGATAGTGTTCTCTCCTTCCATCTTAATGTGAGTTCTGGAGATGGAACTCACACTTCCAGCCTTGTACAGCAAGTGCTTTTTCCCTCAGAAACATCTCTCTGATCCCCCAAATTAATTAAAAACAAAACAACAAAAACATCCTCCATAATTGGAATATTATCAGACAGGTGGCACCTGTCCAAAAGCCAATGTTCAGCTTCTACTTAAAAGAACACACTTGCCCCCACACTGCTTCCCATTTGACCGTGTCAGACAAGAACTTAAAGAGCTGGAGAAGCAAGGAAAGCTTCATGCTGGGTCCCCCTGAATTCATCTGCACCCTGCATGCTGGGTCCCCCTGAATCCAGCTGCACCCTGCATGCTCTAGCCTGCACTGGTAGAGTAACCACCTGAGCACTCACAGACTTTTCTGCCAATTTCTAGGGATAAAGTTTGAGTATGATCACACAACAAATAAAAAGATACAATTTAAGCTAGGAACATTGTCAGACATTCTGTTTGAAAAGAAGTATCTTGCTTATGTCACATAAAACACAAACTACTTTTAAGCTTTATATGTGAACTGAAGCAGAACTGTAACTATAGATGCATTTTCCAGGAAGCCAAAAAACCCTCAAGTTAGATAATATGCAAGTATGTCACTACCTATAGCAACTGACTGGGCAATGAAGAAAAATTGCGTTTAATGTCTCAGTTGCTGGAGACAATGTGGCATCTGTTACTCAAACAGAATTCTGAAGGAAAAAAAACCTTGGAAAACAGGGTAATATAGCAGAGAAAAGAGCAACACATGTGAATATAAGTATATAAAGATGGACAGCAGCTAGCATGAGCAGCAACCAAGCCTGAGCACTTGGGAGGCAGAGGCAGGCAGAGTTTGAGGCCAGCCAGGTCTACAGAATATGCTCTGGGGCAGCTAAGGCTACACAGAGAAACCCTGTCTCAAAAAAACAAAACAAACAAATGAGAGAAAGAGAAAGGGAGAGAGGGAGGAAGAAAGACAAAGCTAATTTCTTATAGAGTAACAAAATAAGTCAATATTTGAAAACAATTAAAGCTTAAATGAGTAGAATACAGGACCACTGAGATGGCTCAGTGGAAAAAGATGGCGTGCCACAAGGGGAACACTTCTCCACTGTTGGTGGAAATGCAAACTTGTACAACCACTCTGGAAATTGGTATGGCAGTTTCTCAGAACATTGGGAATAAGTCTTTCTCAAGACCCAGCTATACCACTCTTGGGCATATACCCAAGGAATGCTCAATCTTACCACAAGGACACATGCTGAACTATGTTCATATCAGCATTATTCATAATAGCAAGAACATGGAAACAACAACCTAGATGTCCCTCAACTGAAGAATGGATAAAAAAGAAATATGGCACATATACACAATGGAGTACTACTGAGCAGTAAAAAAACAATAATATCATGAAATTTGCAGGCAAATGGATGG